TTCGCTGGCGATCATCAAAATTCTATCATTTGATTGGCTGTTGATCACATGATGTGCCTCCGCTTTAGACGACCCCCCGGATCGGAACACTAGTCTGGAAGATCTCCAAAATCAACTGATGTCGATCATGTCGATCAATCTAGATAAAAAACCTGGACGGATTTCTTGATGCATTTACTAATCGATCATTTCAGTGCTTGGGAAAAAGTATGTCAATTTGCTTAAAAGTTATGTTATTGTTGTATGTGTTCAAAATTTCACGAAATTATTCATTTATACAAAACCAAAAAAGGGTTATCAGTGTTGCCGTTGTGGTTAATATAAATAGGTCAGAGAAATTCATACATAGATATAACGATAAGAATATGGCGAAGATTATAGACGGAAAAACTATCGCAAAGTAAATGTATATCATAAATTATCGTGACCGAATATAATGAAAATAATATAATTTACGGTTCCAATACGAATTTGAATAAATGTAGGTCCATCCGAAAAATAATTTGCGATGAAGTTTATCAATTGAAACGAAAATATCCTAGTTTTAATCCTCGACTTGCAATTGTTCAAGTTGGAAATAGGGAAGATTCTGCTGCATATGTGAGACAGAAAGAACAAGCCGCCAAAGAGGTACAATAATTCATCATTCACGTGATCGATGATCATCGTTTCGATATATGTTGCAATAATCAGACTTGATATTCTTCTAGGCTGGAATTGATTTTATTTTACAAAAAAAAAACGAATCAATTACATCGGAGGAGGTGCCAACTTACTATATATCTCTTTAATTTCATTGTGCCCAATTGTTACGTACTAATCTGAAGTTATCAAAATAGCTTTTGAGATTGGTTCATGAATTAAACTATGATCCATCTATTCATGGCGTGTTGGTTCAGCTTCCTTTACCGGAACATATCGATGAAAGATGTATTATTGAAGCCATTGATCCAAAAAAAGATGTCGATGGGTAATCTAGTCCTACATCGTTTATATGCTTGCTTTTGTATAGCAGGAATTTTATTTTATTGATTGGCTTTTTAAATCATTTTAGATTTCATGCATATAATATCGGAAGGTTGGCTAAGAGAAATTGCGATCCTCTATTTTTACCATGCACTCCCAAAGGAATCATCGAATTATTGAATCAAACTGGTATGAATTATATATACCATTTACAATGAAATTGCTATTAGTTCATGTCAATCAATGGAATCGTTACATATCGACATTAGAAATTATTATTTCAAGTAAGCGCACCGTTGTGGTCGGCCGTAGTGATATTGTGGTAAACATTAATTTTTTTGCTATTACAGTTTATATATAGCAGAACATTCCATGATTCTTTTTTAAATATTTGCACTCCTAGGGATTTCCCATGTTTACACTCCTACAAAAAAGAAATGCTACGGTTACATTGTGTCATTCAATGACTGCAAACCTTCCTGAGATTGTATGCATCTTTCTTTTGCGTATCAAAAATTACTTCTGTTTATTTATCATTGACAATGGTCAAAATCTTTAATCTCTAGGTCAAATCAGCTGAAATCCTAGTGGTGGCTATTGGAAAAGCAGAGTTCATAAAGGGCGATTGGATAAGTCCCGGTGCAGTAGTCATTGATGTTGGAACCAATGCGATTAAAGGTAGTTAAAAATCTGTTCTCTATAATTATCTGACTTGTTGACTAATTATTCATCTATTTTATTAGATTCCACAAAAAAAGCAGGCATTCGATGGGTAGGCGATGTAGAATTTTCATCCGCCTCTGCAGTAGCGTCATACATAACACCAGTTCCTGGTGGTGTAGGTCCGATGACAGTTGCAATGTTGTTACAAAATACAGTGGAAAGTGCCAAAAGGTTTCTAAAAGAAAGTAACGAACGTAAGATATCCACATTGGCCTTGAAACGAGTTGTACCTGTTCCAAGCGATATCGATATTGCAACTTCACAAACACCTAAACA